AAGGGTGCATTTACCTTCACTGAGAAACAACCTGGAAGGAATTGGGAGACAGAATGAGAAGAGAGACACAGACACACAGGAAAAGAGATCTGCAAACTAAAACGGTGAGATAAACTTTATTTTCTATTGTTCCATGTTTAACTAATGACCTTATATTTATGCAACTGAATGACAGCAGCCACTTATAGTGTGAAAAGACTGTATATATGAGGATAAGAAAAAAGAGGTTATCTTTTTGCATCCAAGCATAAAGCCTGGAGCTGGTTTTGGATATGACCATACACATCAGAGTGCAGAGTTTTGTGTAAAGAGCAGGAGGAATGATTGTTAAACTTACATGTTATTTGTGGGGATAGGATCAGGGATCACTTGGAATATCTGAATAATCAGAACACATAGTGCTTTGTACAATATAAGAGAGGTGATTGCTAACGCTATGGGTGGTATTACTATTATTTGCAAAGATGGCGGTTATTTTGTTTGTATAAGAATCTGAGAGTCCTGTGTAAGGCTAAGTTTACACCTATGCATGTTGAAACTGATGCATTTTTTTAGGCATGTTTTGTGGTGCGTTTTGCATTTTTGAACATATATTTTTGATACTGCCTCAGACAATCAGGAATGAGAGTCCCCAGAAAACTGATGCTCTTGTGGACACCACTGGATCAAGAGGGGGCTGGGAGGGCTAACACACACACAAGGTTTTTTTACCTTCATTCATAGAATGCATGAAGGAAAAAAAATCTTGGGACTTTAGAACCACTTTAACCCCTTGTCTCCTGCACCTCCCGGCGCTTTAAGAGGTTTCAGAAGCTGGAAGGCAGGGCAGGGTTTTAGAGTCATGTGACCACCGTGATTCGCTGTCACGGCGGTCACATGATTGGAAAAGGTCCCGATCGCAAGAAGAGATCGGGATCTTTCCGTGAGTCACGTACATATTTGCTGGGAGCGTGCATGGCGCCGCGCTCTCAGCACATATGTATTTTCAAATGGTACGCATATATGCGGTCGCTCGGGTCATGGCCCAGATGCTGAGAGGCCGCATATTTGTGTGTGCTTGGCGTCTAGGGGTTAAGCTATAAAAAGGGCAAAATTAGTTCTCTACAGATGGAGAACGGGAGCTGAAGCCATCTTTTACACATCTCATTCACATTTATGCAACAGGGAGTCAGTCTCTGTGTGCAGGTGGCCACCATTTTGTTGAAGTCTACTAGATCCTGACAAGATGATCCTGTCTGTCTTGCACCAGTTTATTCACATGCTGATCAACTGACACAGGATTGGGGGAGCATTCAGGTGGTACTATTTTTATTATTTTGGGCTACATTAAACAGGAACATTTTATAAGTCCTCATGCACAAAGGACTTTTTTTTTAACTCTCCATGAAGCCAGCAGTGTTTTTTGCAGGAAAAAAAGTCTGACGCTTGTAAAAGTGGGCGCTTTTACGAGCGTTTAGGCGCATTTACAGGCTTCAGGCGCTTGGGTGTTAAATAATTTCATTGACCAGAATATATAATTTAATCTGGCCATTGAAACAGATTAATGCTCAAGCGCTAAATGTGCTTTTAGGCATGTTTACACACGTTTAAGTGCATCAAGCGTTTTTTCAGCCAAAACACTGCTGCTCCAGGATACCCTTATGCGTGCCTGGACACATAGGATAACATGCAGGGGAGTTTAGACGCAGTAAAAAAAACCGCCGAACGCCCCTAGCAGTAGCATAAAAAATGTCCAGTGTGCATGAGGCCTAATGCTTTAAGTTAAAAAAAAAGTCAATATGCTTAACGCTGTTTCATTTCCACATTACAGGTCTAAGTTATACTAAGCTAATAATAATATAAAGATAAATTATGAATTGATAAAAGATATTTATTGATAAAAGATAAATTATAATAAGGTCATATTAAGAGTCTAACTAAACAAAAGCAGGACTTAGCAATAACAATAAAGTGGTTCTAAAGTCTCAAGGTTTTTTTTTACCTTCATGCATTCTATGCATGAAGGTAAAAACCCTTCTGTGTGTAGCAGCCCCCCTAACACTTACCTGAGCCCCCTCCTTTTTTTTTTTTTTTTTTTTAAATATTTATTAATTTTCCATGTAAAATACATATTTCTTCATTACTCTCATATACATACAAAACCATCAGATATATCCATTTCTATCTTTATTCCATTACCCCGCACCACCTATCTAATACCCCCACCCACTCTGCATTTCTCCATTACCTCTTTTCCTAAAATAAGGGGTACTTTTACATGTCCCTCTCTACTGCTTCATATATTTCTCCTTGGACACAAAATCTTCCCATTTTCCCCACCTCCTGTAATATAACTCCATCTTGTCTTCTTGCATATAATATAGTTTCTCCATTTTACATATCTGGTTCACTCTTTTTACCCAGTCCTCTTCTCTCGGCACCTCTAAACTATGCCAAAACTTAGGTATCAGACCCTTTGCCGCATTCAGATAGTACCATATACCTGAATCTTTATATTTGTTCACTGATAACTCTGAACTATGTAGTAAACACAACTCTGGATCCAATCCATCTTTATCCCAGAGATTATCCCAATTAAATGAACCATTGTCTCCCAAAAACTATGAATCTTTGGGCACTCCCACCATATGTGATATAACGTACCTGTCTTTCCACACCCCCGCCAACACTCTAGTGTATTTTCCCCACTCATCTCATATTCAACGTTCGGTGCAATGTGCCATATTGTTAAACATTTACAGTTTACCTCCACCTCTCTCATGCTTACATTCTCATGTGTTAGTCTATATATTTTTCTCTGTTTGTCTTCATCTATCTCTATTCCCAAATCCCTTTCCCATTTTACTATGTACATTGGCTTTGTGTGTGTGTCTAACTCAGTGAGAATCTTATAAACTTTTGCCGTGCCCCGTTTCCCATCTCCACGTGATTCCAACAACCTCTCAAACAAATTCCAATCCTTTCTCAATCTCAAAGGTTTCGGAAGACTCCCGACAAAGTGTTTTAATTGGTGATATCTCCACTCGTCTATCTTAATAAAAAGTTCCCTTTTGTCCTTTTTCAACTCCTCAATTCTTGCCCTTCCATAATATCCCTCAGTTGAATATCCTCCTTTTTAAACCATTTTCCGCCTGAGCCCCTCTTGATCCAGCGATGTCTATGAGAGCCTCGGTTCTCAGGGGACTCTCACTCCTGATTGGCTGAAGTAGTCAATCACAGCCAGTGAGCCAATCAGCAGTGGGAGGAGTGGGGCCGAGCCACGGTTCTGTGTGTGAATGGCCACAGAGCCGCAGCTTAGGAGCACGCCTGCTTGGGTGCCCCCATAGCAAGCTGTTTGCTATGGGGGCACCTGACAGGATAGAGGAGCAAGGAGGGCTGGCGGGGGACAGGCTGCTCTGTGCAAAACTCATAGCAGGTAAGTATAGACATGTTTGTTTTTTTAAGGAAAAAAACCCAAGAATTTAGTATCATTTTAAGAATCGCACAATAACAAAACACAGGAAAGACTTAGCATTTATAATTTTAAGAGTGCCCCAGTAACAAACAAAAAGCAGGATTTAACATTTATATAAACATAGAAAAGTAACAGCAGAAAAAGACTGAGTGGTGTTTGTTTGTTTTTCTTTTTTTGTTTGTTGAGGGGGGGGGGGGTTGGTTTGTTTTTGGGTGTTTTTTTTGTTTTGATTTTTTGTTAACATTTTTGTCTGAGTATAGATCAATGCTTGTCCCGTGCATGTTTGAAGCTATTCACTGCTGACTGGCTCACTACCTCCACTGGAAGTTTAAGCATCAACTACACTTTCGGTAAAATAGTACTTTCTGAGATTAGTTTTGAACTTTCCTCCAGTTAGTTGAAGATCATGTCCCCGTGCTCTTGATTTTGTTTTTATGTTGAAAATACTACCCTCCTGAACCTTATTCACCCCCTTGATGTATTTAAAGGTTTCATTCATGTCTCCCCTTTCCCTTCTATCTTCCCTACTATACATGTTAGATTCCTGTTATCAATATCTTTTTGTAAATGAGGTCTCCAGAACTGGACACAGATTCTAAATGAGATCTAACTAAAGAGCTATATAGGGGAATCAGGACCTCCATCCTCCTGCTGGTGCCCAATACATTCCCCAGAAACAAACCAAAAGTAGGACTCTGCATCACAGTAATGTTCCAATCACATTTTTCATGCCACTTCCTCAGCCTGATCCTGCTATACTTCCTCAAAAGTCACCCACAGCTACTGCCAACCTTTATACTCCTGCTGACAGCACTATTTTTTTCAGTGTTAACCCATGTAGATAAACGGCCGGATGGGAGCGCTGCCGATGCAGCTGGAGGTTTCTAAACATCCCCCGCATCCATTGCCTGTACGTGCTAGCTGGGAGTGGAAAGCACCGCAATCGGTGCACAGGACTTCTGTGTGAAGTCCCGATTCATGTGATCATTGATTGGCCAATCAGTGATCACATGAATAGTAGTAAACAAGATGTCACTTCCTGACATCATTGCTTACTACTTGTGAAATCTGTGATTGATCACATGGTACAAGGCTATTCACAACAGCCTTGTACCATGTGACAAGCTGTAACCAATCACAGCTCTCACAGTATTTCTCAATGGCTGCAAGAATGCAGCCAGAGAGGAGGAGAAATTATTGCTTTTACAGCCTTTAGGGTGTAAAAGCAATCACTGTAAAAATAGAAAAAAAAAAATCTTCATCACCCCCCAAAAGTAGTACAGTGTCACTATGGTGACACTGTACTGCTAGAGTAACAGTATGTTAAAAAAACACATAAATAATAATATAAAAAAAATAAAATTAAAATGTAAAAAACTATTTTGAAAAATTATAATTTTGGGTTATAAACTAATTTGGGTTTTTTTTTTTACTTAAAAGATAGATGAATACATTTTGACCAAGATTTATGAAGAAAGATTATTTATTTGCAAAATTTTATATAAGCTGAAAATCGGCCTGGATTGGAAGGGGGTGAAAGTGTCTGGACCAGGGGCGGACTGACCATTTGGAAACTAGGGCCCAGGGTCAGTAGGGGGCCCCATGAGATGCCCCTGGTACCTTTTTTGAGTTTGGGGAAGGACACAGGGGTCCCATGATCCCCTATTGCCCGGGGGCCCCATGAGTTGTCAGTCCGCCCCTGGTCTGGACTTGAAGTGGTTAAACTTAATCTGCCATATAACCACCCACCCTTCTGTTTTACTAGATCTTCTTGTAAAGTTGCTATATCCTGTTATGAATTTATTGCCCTGCTTAGAGTTGTATCATCAGCAAACGCTGGCTGAACTATTTATTCCAATCTCTATGTCATTTATGGATAAGTTGACCAGTTCAGCTCCGCCCCACAGCAGAAATACAGTGCCTACAGTGCGTCAGCTGTGCGCAATATATATATATATATATATATATATATATATATATATAAATATATTAAAAATATATATATATACGATTTTGCATTTCCAGGTAGAGGGCACGCACGCCCTACCCGCTCCGCCATTTGCGGCCCTGGGTCCTGGCAGGTGATTATTCACTGGTGCCCAGTAATTGCCAAGGATCTCAGATGAGGGGAGAACTGTTAGCAAACACAACAGTTCTCCTCCCTGTCAGCTCTGGCACACTGCTTTGCATGGCTGTGCACAGAACAGCCATGCAATGCAGTGTGCTTACAGTGAAGCACAAACACAGCCACACATTGTTAAATGGCACACCGTTAACCCTTTGATTGCCCCACATGTTAACCCCTTCATGCCCAGTGCCATTAGTACAGTGTCAGTGCTTTTTATTACTGTATTGGTGTCACTGGGGTTGTCAGCGACACCAAGTCAGTTCCCCCCAGTGTCACAATGCCCGCCGCAGTCCCGCTATAAGTCGTTGATCGCCACCGTTACTGGTAAAAAATTTTTTTAAAAGGCCCAGTATATATACCGCCATTTGTAAATGCTATAACTTTCACATAAACCAATTCATTTACACGTAGTGGGATTTTTTTTCGCAAAGACATGTATCAGAATACATATTGGCCTAAATTTATGACGAAATTTCATTTTTTAAATATTATTACTGAACATGTTTAATAGCAAAAAGTCAAAAATTTTGTTTTTTTCTCAAAATTGATGGTCTTTTTTTTTTATAGTGAAAAACATTAAAAACGCATAGGTGATCAAATACCACCAAAAGAAAGCTCAATTCTTGGGAAAAAAAGGATATAATTTAATTTGGGTGCAGTGTTGCATGACCGTGCAATTGTCAGTTAAAGTAACGCAGTGTCGTAATGCAAAAAATGGCCTGGTCAGGAAGGGGGGCAAATCCTCTGGAGGGCAAATGGTTAAACAGAATTGGTTCCAGGACAGAGTCCTGGGGTACCCCACTCACAAGACTAGTCCATTTATAAATTATACCATTAATCACCACCCTCTGCATGCCCTACTTTAACCAGTTTTCTATCCCAATACATATATTATCATCAATGCCAAAAGACCTTCATTTGTAAATTAGGTGATTATGGGGCACTGTATCAAATGCCTTAGAGAAATCTAGATATACTATGTCCACAGTACTTTCTCTATCCAAATTGCAGTTTACCTCCTCATGGAATGTTTAAAGGCTAGTTCTGCAAGGACAGTCTTTCATAAATCCATGCTGGATGCTACTAATGATACTATTTTCATCAGCAAATCCTTGGATATGGTCCCTTATCATTCCTTCCAATAATTTACATACTACTAATGTTAGACTGACCAGTCTGTAGTTTCCAGGTACAGTATATATGTTGCTCCTTTTTTTGCTTATTGGTACCAATTAGCTGGTGCCATTCCAGTCAGTATTCTGTCTTTACAAAATAGGAATAATGGTCTGGATATAATATAGCTTAGTTCTTTCAGAAATTTCAGGTGTAAGCTATCCACTGATTTATTTACATTAAAGTGGTTGTAAACCCTTACATATACCCAGTGAAGTTACTGGCCTCAGGTGAAACACAGAGTTAAAACAAATCCTCCTACATAAATTGTACCTACCGCCATCTTTCCCCTACATCCATTCAAAATGCAACATTTACACAGGATCTCTCGGCTCCGAAAAACAGGGGGCGGTGAGCTAAAGCTACATCAGTGAAGAGAGCCGTGAGAGCTGATTGGAAGGAAGGGACACAAACTCCTTCACACAGCACACAGGAACAAAGCTGAGGCTGTCAATCACAGGCTGTGCCCTCTCCGTCACCATTTTTCTCTTGGTGTCGGGAAAATGCGTCGGAGTTACTCATGATTATAGCAGATGAATAAAGCAGTGGACAGAAATGATACTTAGTGCTCTGAATAGAAACAAACGCACGCTATAGACGGACATGCTAGGTTCATATTTCATGTCTGAGGTTTACAACCACTTTATTTTTTCTAGTTGTTTTTGAACACTTTTTCTGTTAGCACATGAAAGTACCTGAATTTAAATGTATTATCTTGCAATATTTTGTACAGCAGCTCTCAGACTGGGAGAAGGAAGGGCAGGAGACTGGGGCCAATCAAGGGTGATGCACTAAATAATCAAAAAATGAACATGCTGATAGGAGGAGAGACAGAGAAGACCTCATCAATCTGATGATGCTCATTCTGTCCAGTCAGCCAGCTAGGGATTGGAAAGAGGACACCACTGTGTCCCTATAGTCTTGTTATTCTAAAAGTAAAAAAGAAACTGGCATTGAAGAAGAAGAAATTAAGAAGAAAAATGCAGCGAACGCCAAACACCTGGAAACATGGCCAATAACGTGGGTGTTGCTGACTTTAGAGGTCAGTGGCAAGTAGCACAAAGTTCAGGAGTCAGCAGTAACGCAGACTTCATGAGCTAATGACTCAGTAGTAAGTAATGCACAGTTCAGGAGTCAGTAGTAATTAATGCAGAGTTCAGGGTCAGGAGTAAGGCAGAGTACAGGGGTTAGTAATCTAGAGTGCAGGGATGAGTAGTAAGGGAGAGTTCAGAGGTATGTGGAAAGCAATGCAGAGATTGGGGGTCTGTGGTTATTTAATGTAGAATTACAATATGTATATATTTCTGTTGGCCCTCCTCTGCTGGCATATCATTTGTATACAGTTATGGAGATGGCAGCACTGGGAAAGCCTTATGTTCCTCTATAGGTATAGGCTGGTCAGCCCTCCTCAATGCCCAGGTACTACCAGGGGTGGACTGACAACTCATGGGGCCCCCGGGCAATAGGGGATTATGGGGCCCCTGTGTCCTTGCCCAAACTCAAAAAAGCCTATGAAAAAGGTACCAGGGGCATCTCATGGGGCCCCCTACTTACCCCGGGCCCTCGGGCACTGCCCGAATTTCCAAATGGTCAGTCCGCTCCTGGGTACTACACATGACAGAGCTGACTGCATCTACTCACCTGCACACATACCAATGGCATGGCACAGCAGGAGCCAGTGGTGTCCACAGCATCCCCATACAAGAGGCCAACACTATACCTAGTAGGGCAAACAGAAAGGGGTAAAACTCACAGCTGTGCACAGCAGGGAGGGGGATGACTTGGAGAGATGCGTGATTGGGGACAGATATGATCTGCTAACTGGGAACTCTGGTGTCTTAGGTTGGCCATACAATATACAATTGTCTTCTTCAAGTTCCTTTAGATTTACCTTTAATCATGTAATACAAGGGCCTACCTGATTGTATGCAAGTTGAAAGTGTTTAGGTTTGACCTTATATGGTTTTGGTAAATCTAGAGTAAAATTGAACATGAAAATTGTATAATGTATGGCCAGCCTTAAGCAAAGAAACCCCATAGACACATCAATTTAACTCCAAATTGCTGTTTTTTTCAATCACCATTAGAGCTGTCCTCTATCAACTCAGCCAGTGAAGAAAAGTAGAACCCGTGGCAAAGCCTCTTATGCTACAGGCATTGCCAAAGGAAGTGGCAATTATTGAACAGATATACAGGAAATAGAATCCATGCTTCAGTTTGCTGTATTTCTGTTTGAATGTTAATACATTTTTTGTTGGAGCTGAAGAGAAAAAAATTGAACTAAGGTGCAGCTTTGATTGCTCCACAGTTATTGTAACTGTGGACACTGACAGGGACATTTGTTTCCAAGGGACAGACCCCTCAAAATGGGGACTTTCCCCAGAAAACGGGGATGAATGGCAACCTTACAGTATTCTATGATTTTAATATTGATGACCTGTTTTCTGAGTGCAGTTGTTCAATGGAAATCCCACTGACGTCTTCCACTGACAAACATGATGCACACCAAAAAGACAACATAAATAACGAAGGTACTGTATGCCCAAAACCAGATAGTATGCCATGTTTGGGTCCATTAATTACCTTAGATGTGCTGGCTTTCTGATCTGCCACTCCAGCCCCCATAAAACCCAATATTTTCAAGTTTGGGTGTGAATGCATATGCACCGTCTCCCACCCAAACTTCAATAAGGTGGGGGGAGGGGCAGTAAAATTAACTATGGCACTGAAGGTTGCCTCCTATGCATATATGGGCTTTGCTTTCCGTTAACAAATGACAGTTTGGATCCAACATTGCAGTAAAATTACAGTGTATTTTTCTTAGCTCTCTACCTGCATCTGTATGTGATGCTCTGTCATTCATGTAACCCTAAATTTAACTTTCCAGCAGGCTTACAAGTTGAACATTTTTAACAGGGCAGTGACGTTTGCAATCATGTGCAGTAACCTACAAAAACTAAAGTTCAACTTTCACTTATTTTAGTAAAACAAAATTAAATCTGGCTGCTGTGGATTACTGTACATCATACATCTTATTAAATATTTTTTAGGCCCCATTCACACCTCAGCATTTCCAGTTTATTTCCCTACACCTGCCTATGCTCAATATGCAGATTCCTATTTTTTCTCATAGTCTCTGTTCATACTTGTACGCTTAGTTGCCCTACACTTAAAGTACATGAGTTTTTTTTTTTTTTTTACATATTCACGTTTCTGGTATCATAGACCTTAACGTGTGCCCCTATGAACATTTTTACACCTGAAGAACCTCTCTCCTCCTTTCGAACTGCTCTCCTTCCCACTGCTCAGCCCAGGAAACAAATGTCTGCAGTCTTTTTACACATGCAAAAATGCTTGCACAAAGCTTGTAATGCCTTAAAAAAAGTTTCTAAATCACCAAAAATATGCTCCGGTACAGTGTGAATATGCAGGCTTATATTGCTGGTCATTAGTGCTGGTGTGGTGTCTCAGTATTCAGAAACATCATAGTCTTTTGCATTCAATACTAATTCCATACTCTGAAAATCTGGACACCATGGACTCATTCCCCTATTTTTCAAATAAATTATTCGCAAAAATTAAAACAATCGTGTTAACCTTAGACTTCCTAAATTATTTTATTTTATTATGAGTACTTATATATCAACGTCAATTTACTCAGCGCTTTACATATATATTGTTCATTCACATTAGTCCCCTAATCTTAAAGGGGTGTACAATCTAAGGTCCCTAGGTCACATTCATACATACACATACTAGAGTCAATTGAGACAGGAGCCAATTAACCGCTTCCCCAACGCCCTCTAGCAGATATATTACCACAGGGCAGCAGGGGTGCACAAAATTCAGTGTATACAAGGGATATTGCATTTCTGGGTAGGGGGCGCCCGGTGATTACTGAGGATCTCCGATGGGGAGCAGGGCTGCTTTACTAACAGTCCTCCTCCCTGTCAGCTCAGGTACACTGCTCTGGATGGCTGTGCAGTTAACCCTTTGATCGCCCCTCATGTCAACCCCTTCCTTCCCAGTGCTATTAGTACAGTGTCAGTGTTTTTTTTTTTTTGCACTAATCACTGTATTGGTGTCACTGGGGACACCAAGCCAGTTCCCCCCAGTCTCAGAATGTCTGCCGCAGTCCCACTATAAGTCTCTGATCGCCGCCATTATTAGTAAAAGAAAAGAAAATCCAGTATCTAAACCGCCATTTGTAAACGCTGTACCTTTCACATAAACCAATTAATTTACACGTATTGGGATTTTTTTCAGCAAAGACATGTCACAGAATACATTTTGGCCTAAATTTATGACGAAATTTGTTTTTTTTAAAAAATTTTTACTGGACGTTTAATAGCAAAAAGTCAAAAATATTGTTTTTTTTTCTCAAAATTGTCGGTCTTTTCTTTTATAGCACAAAAAATAAAAACCGCACAGGCAATCAAATACCACCAAAAGAAAGCTCAATTCATGGGGAAAAAATGACATAAATTTAATTTGGGTGCAGCGTTGCATGACTGCGCAATTGTCAGTTAAGTTAACGCAGCGCCGTAACACAAAAAATGGCCTGGTCAGGAAGGGGGTTAAATCCTCAGGAGGGCAAGTAGTTAACCTAAGTAAAACAAAAAGGAGGCAAGATGTCATGTTTATAAGCATGGTTCCTCTCCTTCCAGTGCAACAAACAAGTCACATGTCGTGCTCACCTCACTGTATATCTTCAAATGTACCAGATCCTACTGTGGGAACAACATCCTCTATGGTCATGCTAATTCCTCCTTCCAGTAATAAGTACCTTATCAGAAATAAAGTATGTAATAGGTAGCTATACCTGACTTGACTAGCAATGCCTAAACTACATTTCTACACACAGGCATCATTTCATTTTCCGTATTTATTCTTTCCCACATCTAATATTTCAGTCTCAAGCAGGCCGATAATGATTCAAAAATGTAAAATGATACCAAATTTTGTTGGTAACTAAAACTTTAAAGGCTATTTAAGATATGAAGAGGCCTCAATATCAATTTTCTATCATAGCCATGCTCACTGAATAATTTTTAAAGTGATACTAAACCTAAAAACGTTTTTCACCTTAATGCATTGATTGCATTAAGGTAAAAAACATTTTTACATTCCCTGCGCTTCCCCTTCCTTGTGTGAAGGGGAAGAGAGGGGAGAAGATATCAGTGCTGTGCATGGCTGCATCTCCTCTCCCCTTGCTTCCTCTTCACACAGGGACTCGAACAGCAACAGGAGCCATTGGCTCTTGCTGCTGTCAATAAAGTGTGGTGAAGAGGAAGTGGGGGGGCAGGGCTAAGTCCCATTGTGTGTGTCTATGGAACGTGGCTCCATAGACACACAGGTCGAGAGCGAACATGCAGCATTTGTCTCCATAGCAAATGGCTTGCTATGGGAACACACAAAGAAGAGGAGGAACCAGGATTGCTGACGGGGGGGCCTGAGAAGAGCAGGATTGGATCCAGTCTGTGCAATACCATTGCACAGAGCAGGTGAGTATAACATGTTTGTTATTTTAATTGAAAACATTTTTTCCTTTAGTAACACTTTAAAGTGGTTGTAAAGGCTCAAGGTTTTTCACCTTCATTCATGCAGGTAAAAAACCTTCTGCGTGCAGCAGTGCCTCCAGCCCCCTCAATACTTACCTGAGCCTCATCGTGATTCAGCAATGTGCACGACAGCCTCGGCTGTCCCGGGTCTCTGCCTCCTCATTGGCTGAGACAGCTGCTGTCAATCACAGCCAGTCAGCAAATAAGGAGAGAGAGGGAGCAGGGCCAAGCCGTGGTTCTGTGTGTGAATGAACACACGGAGCTGCGGCTTGGGAACACGCTTGCTTGGGTGCCCCCATAGCAAGCTGCTTGTTATGGGGGCACCCTACAGAAAGGAGGAGCCAGGTGTGCCGGCAAGGGAACCGAGAAGAGGAAGATCCAGGCTGCTCTGCGTAAAACCACTGTACACAGTAAATACAACATGTTTGTTATTTCCAAAAAAAAGAACCTTAAGTATTGCTTTCAAGATATTTATGTTCTTGTACTACAACCTTACTAGCAATTGACTTCACACTTCTATCCATTTGAATGTATAAAGTGTAATACAGTCATATGCTTAAAACAGATAGAGTAAAAGAGACCAATAACACTGAAGGTGTATTTCTAGGCAATTATTATTTTTTTTTTAACTTCGTGTAATTTGTTTTTTTTGTTTTTTATTTTGCAGGCTAGCTGGTAAGGGTGCTGGGAAAACTCTTGTTTGTGCTGTACAAAACCCTTCCCATGTGCACCTTTCTAAAGTGACAATTCACACTTGTGCGATTTCAGAAGCGACTTGAGTCACACACAATCGCTTGACAATAGAAATTTTGTTGTCCAATAAACATAAGAATGACTTCACCACTTTTCAATGACTTCACCACTAATCCAGAGTTCCCCCCTGGTGTGTGTGGCCCGAGATTCCTGAAATGGTATCAGTCCAAACCCTCTCCTGTATTGCAAGCCTGGCATTAAACCATTAACAGAATTTTTCCCTGCAAATTTCTCCTGCCCTGGCCAGTGACTCTGCTATTTGCAACTCAGGTACTTCTATGCACACCTTAATTCTTTGGGGTCGCTGTCCAGGGATCTGATGCCCTTTGTGGACCTATGCCTAGATAATCCAGGCTGCACAGACATCATCTATCAACAATGTAATATCCTAGTAATGCATGCAGTTCCAAAACAACCTTTTTACCCCAGGGACTGAGAAAGAAACTTAGGACACCCTATGACAATGACAGATGAAGGCTAGGAAAAACCTTTCTTATTATCTTAAAGAGAAAAATAGCTGTTCAAGCTAAAAGGGAGGAACTTCAAGATATTTTCTAGGTGGTACTACTGCTCCATTATGCTACATAATTTTTTTTCCCTCGATCCAGAATTTGAGATATGAGAAAGAATAAGACACTATGCTCGACATTTGGTGGGTGTGCCATCATATTGATCCTCTTTGTGCACCATTTTTTATCTCTACACCCAAATCACAGGGACAAAATGTTTATAGATCCCAGAGGTAGCCCTATCTCTATAATTTCATGACCCCTTAAAGCAGTAAACAAAGGTCTCTTAATATTGCTATTTTCTACAGGTAGGGCACTGATCCCTACGCACTGGAGATCAACAAATAATCTAAGAGTTCAGAAATTGGTTAATGAACTTAAACTTAACATAAAGTAGAAAGCCTTGGCAGCCTGCATGCATGATCATTTCTCAAATTTAATTGCAGCTTGGAGAACCTGGATCTAATTTTCCAACTATGCCTATATCAATCCCTTCTTCTGACTTAAGGACAAAGCCATGTTACACTGGCATTACTATACCTAGGCAGACCTTGGCTGGAACCCACCTCCTCAGCTTCCCACTTTCCCATTGTTTTTCCTTGCCCCTCTGTTAGTGGGACAGTGGGAGTAACCTGACCCCTAAAAGGCATTGTATGTTACATTTGTCTGTTGTTTTGCTATATGAACAGTTGAGTTCAATGCACTTTGCTCTTTTGTGCTTTTTATTTTGAAATGTACCTACCTCAGATATTTAGTTGTAATCTTTTGAGTTGGTAATGGTCTGCCTTCCATCCGTGTGGACTTTCTGTGTACCCTTGTTGAAAGTCTCAGTTAAGCATATTCTTAAAAAAAAAAAAAAACCTTCTGACTTCTCATTTGTAACTTGAAATCAATACAAGGAACATAGGGATGTAAGATAAATGCTCAGGCTTGTTAACTGCTGCACCACTCTTCACCCATAGCAGCCACCTTTCTGGAAGGCTTCATACACATATTCTGGCATTTTGATGCTATCAGAGACAATCCAAAGTTAAAGATGAAGACGTTGGGTGATCCCATAAGGTCAATCACAGGATATTTAATGTTCAAGCAAGGGTCAAATCAGCTGGTGCCTCTACGCAAACAGACGTATAATCAGAAGTCAGATCAGGGGTACATATGAGTAAGTTTCAAACTGAATGTTAAAGCCAAAACATGAAGTCAAAGTTCAGAGTGGGGGTCAGAGCAGGTAGAATTCAAACAAGGTCAAACATGCAAAATGTTGCAATTAGAACAAATGGAGTTACAGCTAAGGATAACACACAAGAGCTAATAAGCACTACAAATGAAAAACAGACTCTAGGGGTGGTCTCCTTTAGACGTCAGACAGCCAATATGAAGAACGCTGGTATATGTCAGGGTAATCACTTCCATAGTGCAGCCATGAGTGGGTGAGAGATGCCAGAAGAGAAACCACCAGAGATTCAAATATGCTTCATACATTACACTGCAGTCCTTAAAGATGAAAAGTCAGATGTAGAAAACCCTCCCAAAACGCAATAAATCTCAAGCTCCATATACACTTCAGCAAGGGCCCAAATACACAACAGTCAGTGAACAATGCTCACAGTTCAAGCAGTCTCATGCATGCAGCCAGCATGCCCCAGTATGAGTGATGATTACTCAATGCCACATTCAGTTACTATTTTCCTGGGGCTCCCCTGTATTCTGCATCTAGACCATGTTTGCTGGCTGTCAAATTGCCTCTGACCTTGACCAGCAGCCCCCAAGACTTAAAAGTTATGTTGTTCTTTTTAAACAGTCTGGGTCTATTTACACTTTTGCAGTGTGAAAATCTATGTGGTTTTCAAGCATGTTTGGGAAAGTAAAAATATGACTTTGGAATTTTGGAACAAATGGGTGTGAGGGTTAGCAAAACATTAGCTAATTTTGTCTCATACTGTATATATTATTAAATGAAGTGTCTCACATCAAACCCGAAAAAAGATTTGCATTTTAGCTTGTTATGACACCTAATGTGCTTTACTAAGTCAACGTGTCAGTGTTGCTGGGTACAAAAACAACTTATGTCACTTGTTTTTTCAAATATGTCTTCATGAAAGGAGCCTTTCAATGTCTGAAAAACAGTGATTTAACACATCACTTTGGTGGCTATATCATGGGGTTTTATTTTGCCCATACCAGTTTCATTTAACATCTCATGGACCCCTAATGACCAGAAACATTGACTTAGTTATTAAAATAGGACTACAGTCAACATTTTATCTAGTTTTAGAAAGGGAAGAGAAGAGTTACAATTTTATTGTTGTCTTTTGAGCCTGTTGGAGATTCCCTTCCTGTCCTATTGACAATGTTCTCATCTGTTAAGGAAGTGAGGTGTAATCTTTCCAACAGCAACACAATAAAAACAGTCTTTTCTCTAGAGTGGGAGAAGAATAGAACCTTTGTCAGTATTTTACTGATGTTTTCGTCATCTTCTGTCACAGTGAAAATGTCTCCATGACAGGAAGTGAGGGGGATTCTCCCCAGTGAGGCCATAGAAAAGAAACAACAAATGACAAAGAATGTATTGCTCCCCACCCCCCACAAACATACACACTATCCATAACTACGAAAATGTTTGGCCGAAGTAACACTTTTATATACTATATTGTAAAAGTATTGGGACACCCTTCCAACTCATTGTATTCAGATGTTCCAATCACCTCCATGGGCACAGGTGTATAAAATCAAGCACCTAGGCATGCAGACTGCTTCTGCAAACATTCGTGAAAGAATGGGTCGCTCTCAGGAGCTCAGTGAATTCAAGCGTGGTACTGTGATAGGTTGCCACTTGTGCAATAAGTCCATCCATGAAATTTCCTTCCTACTAAATATTCCACAGTCAGCTGTTAGTGGTATTATAACAAAGTAGAATCAACTGCAAACAATGTCACGAAGTGTCAGAGCCTGGGATTGAACCTGGGCCTTCTGCAGTGAGAGGCAATGTTTCTTCTCACTGAGCTACCTGGGATGCTGGACAGCACTCTGCCTGATTTATTGGACTATCCTGCCTTGTGACTTGTTTTCTGATGAACCTTGAACTCCTTGCTCCTCCCATGAATTTCCTGATAAAAGCCATGTCTCTGCACTTCCTCACTTCCTGGTTGCCAGATTATTGTGCCTTCCCAGCCAATATGCTGCTAATCTCTCCTGCTGCTATCTACACCTTCGCTACCGACCTTTGGCTTGTTACTGACTACGATTTCTTCTCATCCTCATCTACTACCATTCATGACCAACCCTTGGCTTGTTTGACTCTGCTTCTGCTTGATCCCTAACCTGTTTGATCCACTATCGGTTACCGGCTTGCTCATTCCCTGGTGGGTTGATCCTGAGATCTGCGACCTGGTATTAACACGCAGCCAAATCCATCTCCACCACTAGGAGCTCTGGTGAAAACCGGTTAATGCTTAGACCCCGCACCTCAGGTGAGCCTGCGTCATTTCCCAGGGTGATCTGCTGGCGTACCTATCCTGCTGGTTTCAGGTAAGCCTTACACTGCTATAGCAACTGGTCTCTGAACCTGACCCAGACCATGACACGAAGTGGTAGGCCACGTAAAATGACAGAGCTGGATCAGTGCATGCTGAAACACACAGTGCGCAGAAGTTGCCAACTGTCTGTAGAGTCAATAGCTAAAGACCTCCAAACATTGTGTGGTCTTCAGATTAGCACAACAACAGTGTATAGAAAGCTTCATGGAATGAGTTTCCATGGCCGAACAGCTGCATCCAAGCCTTACAACACCAAGTGGAATGCAAAGCGTCGGATACAGTGGTGTAAAGCATGCTGCCACTAGACTCTAGAGCAGTTGAGGCGTGTTCTCTGGAGTGGCGAATCACACTTCTGTCTGGCAATCCGATGGACATGTCTGGGTTTGGTGGTTGCCAGGAGAACGGTACTTGCCTGACTGCATTGTGCCAAGTGTAAATATTGGTGGAGGGGGGGTTATGGTGTGGAGTTGTTTTTCAGGGGTTGGGCTTGGCCCCTTAGTTCCAGTGAAGGGAACTTTTACTGCATCAGCATACCAAGACATTTTGTACAATTTCATGCTCCCAACTTTGTGGGAACAGTTTGGGGGTGGCCCCTTCCTGTTCCAACATAACTGTGCACAAAGCAAGGTCCATAAAGACATGGATGAGCGAGTTTGGGGTGAAGGAACTTGACTGGCCTGCACAGAGTCCTGACCTCAACCCGATAGAACACCTTTGGGATGAATTGGAGTGGAGACTGCGAGCCAGGCCTTCTTGTCCGACATCAGTGCCTGACCTCACAAATGCGCTTCTGGAAGAATGCTCAAACATTCCCGTAGACACGCTCCTAAACCTTGTGGACAGCCTTCCCAGGAGAGTTGAAGCTGTTATAGCTGCAAAGGGTGGGTCAAATCAATATTGAACCCTACAGACTAAGACTGGGATGAAATTAAAGTTCATGTGCGTGTAAAGGCAGACGTCCCAATACTTTTGGCAATATAGTGTATATTCCTTGATCGTGATCATGCAGCTGATTTGCTCACCATGCTCAGATGCAAGTGGAGACCCTTTAATCCCTTTTTGTCACAGTTCCCAAGGAAGTTACGTTTCCCTGCGTCCCACCCTCAGCAGCTTAGAAAGGCCAGACCTGATGAGGCAAAGGTAGCTGGGTAAATGATATACAACTAGGTGATAGGCCCTCCAAAGCTGATATGTGGGTAGGGGGGCCAGAGCCTATTAGCACACAGCTTCTCCTGAAGACCCAGCTACTGTGAAGAGTACCTGCCTGATTGCCACTAGAGTACTTTAGTCCCAGTGGGATGGCCCTTTGTCCTCAGGTCTTGGAGCCCCATAACGGTTCACTGAGTAACCAGAGCTACCCTGAACTTCACTGAAAGGGATGCTATTTATGAGGATAAAAGCAAATATCACAGATCATTGCTGTGAAGAATTTGTACTTTGTTTTTTATTCTTCTGCAGTGTATGCATGGTCTTGGCCATTCTGACATTGCATTATTGATTCTACCTTTGCACTTACCTCGCAAACTGCAAGTTACTCTTTGTCTGATAATTTGGGTAATTAGTTACAATCATGCTGTATACTACAAGAAGCCACTAAAAGAGCTACAAAAAAGTCTACTCTGAAAATGATGTAATACTGATTAAGGTCTGTTTTGTTAAAGATGTAATACTCATTAAGATCTACTTTGATAAAAATGTAATACTATTTAACAGGGCCTTTTTTGTCAGAGAATAGGTGCAGTAACTCTCCCCCGACTCGACCAGCCCCCTCCAGGGGGAGAATAGAGATGTGCGTGCTACAGCTACATCATAGGGTGGTTGTGGCCAAATTGCACTAACAGTGGGAGCAATGTTAAAGGTCATTGGTAAATAAAATCAGGATGGCATATCTTTTAGAATGTAGGGTTAAGAAGTGCGCTATGCACAGTGAGCAGGGTTCAGGCGTGCATATCTCACAACAAGCCAGTTTAAAACTAAAAATTACTTCCCTAAATTGTTAGCCTGTATTACATACTCTTGACCAATGAGCCCACTGTCCACAATTCACCTCTTCCCCCTGTCCAAAGCTCAACTCTGCAACCCTATCTTAACGTTCACCTCTGCACCCCACCACCCAAAGCTCACATCTGCACCCCACCATCCAAAGCTCACATCTGCACCTCCTGTCCACAGTTCACATCTGCACCTCAGTGTCCACAACTCACCTCTGCATTCCCATGCAAAGCTCACAAAGTTCACCTCTGAACTCCTGTCCAAAGCTCATCTCTGCACCCCATCAGCCACAGCTCACCTCAGCCTACCCATCCACAGCTCATCTCTACACCTCCTGTCCACAACTCACATCTACACCCCCCCATCCACAACTGGCCGAAGCTCACTTCTGAACCCTTGTCCACAATTTACCACTAAACCCTGCATCTGAAAGTAACCTCTACACCCCCTGTCTGCAGCACAACTCACCACTAAACCCCCACTTTAAGCTTACCTCTGCACCCCCCAGTCCAATGCTCACATCTGCACCCCCAAGTCCAAAGCTCACTTCTACACCCCCTGTCGCAAAACTGCGCAAAACACAGTGAAATACGCAGTTCAACCATTTTTTAGGCACCTCCATCTTGGTACGGAGTATATATTGTGTCTCTCATTTCTCATTCTCCTTCCCTCTCCCTTCCTGAGAGGCACAGTGACAGATGTGTGTGTGTTTAAAAGTGTCATTGGCAGGTTGAGCAGCAGGGGGCGCAGAGCTACAAAGCCCCCCCAGAGAGAGGGCCTAGCTGCCCAAGAACATGTGTAATTTCTGACTTCGTAACCGAGATCAGACAGCTTTTCCCAGGAATTGAAAGACTGTAACCTCATAAAACCTAGCAGCGTAGGTGACAGAATTAAATGAACATTCCTCAAGTCACTTTGTCCCCTATGTTTCATATCATGGATTATGAAGATGCTGGTTCTATTTCAGAGTCCGCCCGATGATCCCTCCCTAAACAGAGTATTGGTCAGTTACTCAGAGCCAGCCTACCCCCCTGCTGGGGGACTTTAAAACACAGGCTAGCAGGCCTAGAAAGTTAAGTTGAAGACTTCTCCCATTTTTTTCCATCGTAACAGTGGGAGATCAAAGCACCATTCTGCTCTGCAACTTGGATCTGCTTATATCAAAGGCTTAAATGGCAAGTAAACCCTTTAACTTCCTTCCTATTATCTCTCTGCTGTGCTATGGTTCTTTGTGTGTGTGCGTGTGTGTATGTATATATATATATATATATACAGTCATGGCCGAAATTGTTGGCACCCTTGATATTTTTCCTGAAAATCAAGTATTTCACACAAAAAAGGTATTGCATTAACACATGTTTTGCTATACACATGTTTATTCCCTTTGTATGTATTGGAACAAAATATAAACAGAGGCAGAAAAAGCAAATATGACATAATGTCACACAAAACCCCAAAAATGGGCTGGACAAAAGTATTGGCACCCTTAACTTAATATTTGGTTGCACACCCTTTGGAAAACATAACTGAAATCAGTCGCTTCCTATAACCATCAATAAGCTTCTGACACCTCTCACCCGGAATTTTGGACCACTCTTCCTTTGCAAACAGCTCCAGGTCTCTCTTATTGGAAGGACACCTTTTCCCAACAGCAATTTTAAGATCTCTCCACAGGTGTTCAATGGGATTTAGATCTGGGCTCATTGCTGGCCACTTCAGAACTCTCCAGCGCTTCTTTGCCATCCATTTCTGAGTGCTTTTTGACGTATGTTTGGGGTCATTGTCCTGTGGAAGACCCAGGATCTTGGACGCAAACCCAGCTTTCTGACACTGGGCCCTACAGTGCGACCCAAAATCCTGTGGTAATCCTCAGATTTCATGATGCCTTGCACACAGTCAAGGCACCCAGTGCCAGAGGCAGCAAAACAACCCCAAAACATCATTGAACCTCCACCATATTTTACCGTAGGTACTGTGTTTTGTTCTTTGTAGGCCTCATTCCGTTTTCGGTAAACAGTAGAATGATGTGCTTTACCGAAAAAGCTCTATCTTGGTCTCATCTGTCCACAAGACGTTTTCCCAGAAGGCTTTTGGCTTACTCAAGTACATTTTGGCAAACTGTAGTCTTGCTTTTTTATGTCTCTGTGTCAGCAGTGGGGTCCTCCTGGGTCTCCTGCCATAGCGTTTCATTTCATTTAAATGTCGACGGTAGTTCGCGCTGACACTGATGCTCCCTGAGCCTGCAGGGACAGCTTGAATGTCTTTGGAACATGTTTGGGGCTGCTTATCCACCATCCGGACTATTCTGCGTTGCAATCTTTCATCAATTTTCCTCATCCGTCCACGACCAGGGAGATTAGCTACAGTGCCATGGGTTGCAAAACTTCTTGATAATGTTGCGCACTGTGGACAAAGGCAAATCTAGTTCTCTGGAGATGGACTTGTAACCTTGAGATTGTTGATATTTTGCCACAATTTTGGTTCTCAGGTCCTCAGACAGTTCTCGTCTCCTCTTTTCTGTTGTCCATTGCTTAGTGTGGCACAGACAGACACACAATGCAAAGGTTAAGTGAACGTCTCTCCTTTTTATCTGCTTTCAGGTGTGATTTCTATATTGCCCACACCTGTTACTTGCCCCAGGTGAGTTTACAGGAGCATCACATGCTTGTAACATTCTTATTTATCCGCAGTTGTGAAAGGGTGCCAATACTTTTGTCCAGCCCATTTTTGGAGGTTTGTGTGACATTATGTCGAATTTGCTTTCTTTCCTCCCTTTTTTTTTTGTTTTGTCCCAATACACACAAAGGGAATAAACATGTGTATAGCAAAACATGTGTTAATGCAATACGTTTCGTGAGAAATACATGATTTCTGGAGAAATATCAAGGGTGCCAACAATTTCGGCCATGACTGTATATATATATCTCTTAGTTACATCTTTTTCTGTAAATATTTTATTGCACCTGTTTGACTCTGTTAGTAATAAATCTTTCTTTCTGAAAGTGTTAAACCGTTTCTAAAGTGCTTACTTGCAATTTACGAATTCCTGCCTCTAAAGAGATGCTACTGTGTTTGTCTAATCCTCTGCCCAATCGGCCTGCGGTGACCGTATTGGACAGATGACTTTTCAACCATTTTTTTGTATATTTGATAAAGAGAGTTTCCCCTTTCTCTGTTCAAAATGGGGTGGTGGCAGTGAAGGGTTAGTTGCCTAATTAACCCGACCCAGTAACAATCGCTCAGGCTGACGGCACATCGATCGGTTTACCATTAGCTGGAAAATCGCTGTGTAGGGTGCAGCTGGGTGTGGCAT